AATACTAATGGTAATAATCAATTTAGTTACTAGGTTCACATGCCTTTTTTAAGATAAGCAATATTAGCAAAGATGGATAGTGGTTAGCAGTGGGATCCAGGACGCGCGTTTCGTTTTATTTGGGACTTGTCAGCTGGATTTACCGGCGTCTCACAGTTGATGTTCACTTTGGGACTCGAACCCAGTTACCGTTCGCTTCAAACTCCATCGGGTTATCCACTTAGCTGCTGAGACGAAATGCGCGTCCTTGATTCCAGTGCTAGCCACTATCCATTTTTGCTTAGAATGCTTGTGAATGAAGGCAATATGGAGGCAATACACATATGCCAATAAGAGTTTGATCAGTTCTAGTCCTAAACATCAATCGGAAGATTCAAGTAAACAATACCAAGTGAAGCAATATTTGTATGTAATAAAAATTAAACATTAAATTGTATATGAAAATGTATCAGCTCATCTGATTACATTTTGAAATTAGTATATAAACGACATCCAACAGATATGTAAATGTTTTATTAGGCAAGAACAAATGGACCGTGATAACAAACAAAAAAAACCCAGATAGATATGAATTTACGGAAGACGCAATTTCATTAATACAATTAATTTCTAAAATATATTTTATAAGGTTTCAGTGTAATGATTCATAGTATCATGTAAACTACACTTATTACGCTTAGTATTCATTGTATGACATTTACAGAGGTGATATCCCTAAACCTTATAAACCAATTATTTCTCAACTATGCAAATATTACAATAAATCTTAATCCTTTACATTGATCTAAACCGAAAATTAGAGAAAGTTGACTGTGAGTGCTCAATTGGGCATTACGAAAGATTTACAACTAATCGCTGTGCTAAATAATTGGTAATCTCAAGCCAAAACGTTGCATTTTTCACATATTCTCTTCCTTATCTACCGTTTTGATGAAAATGAGGAAAGAATATATTTGAACTCATACATTCGGTATCGGATACATTAAAAAAGGTGTAACACTTGAACTGTTAGAGAATTTTCTCCATTCAAGGTAAGTGATAGATGTTAACTACTGCAAACAACATATATAGAATATAATTTCCAATTAATTACACTTTCAATGTATATTTCACAGACGTTTATTGTATTATCGGGCAAATTCGTGCTGAAAATTCCTGAGCGTAATGAAATCTATAATTCTGAGTACAACTAATTTCCTAAAGATTTCATGTGTCTTTCTTTGCAGATCTTCACATTTCATCTTAAATTGTATTTGAGAGCAGTAATAATGTGTTGTGTGCTACTGATGTCGATAGATATAAGTAGTATGTATCATCAATCGAAGGTGAAATACCTGGCAGGAGAAGGTTAAGAAGATTGAAGAAATTAGGCGGAGAACAGCGAATGATTGCTGTGGAAACGAAGGCACAGTGAAGTCTGAGACGATTGAGTGACATTTGCAAAAGGAACAGTCAAGTTTGAGACAATTAATTGACATTTTGCAAATTAAGAATTTATTGTATGATTTGCAGACTTTACTAGAATGTTCTGTAATTTTATACATTTGCTTGTCCCTACTTGTGTTCTCGTTCACTACACTATTTTATTCAGCTGTCTCTGATGTAGTAAGTTTACGACCATGTCAGTCGAGGTGTTTTTAACTTAAGTTATATGATAAAAAAGATGTGGTTTATTTTATCATTTCACCACAGTCGAATAAGACTTCGAAAACATTCTACAGAGAATCTGTGTAAAATCATGTACTCTAACTTCGATGGATAAATATAATGAACTAAGTAAGAATCAGTAAACTATTGCATAGTTGTATCATCGCTTTGATAAACATTTAAATTGAATAATAAAATTCATGAGTCAATTGTAGCTAGACCACCATGGAAAACCTAGAAGCATTGGACGGCCGTTTCGTTCTAATATGAGACTCGCAAGATTCGGACTCAGGACCTATCAGTTTCACGCAAAATCGCTTAACTATAATATCCACAAAATCCCTCTCTGGTTATAAACATTTCAATATTTATTCAACACTATCAGAACAAATCATTTTGTTAGATTAGGCACTCACTCACTACCTCACTATCTATTTTGCAACTAAATATCATAATACAAAATTATACAATTGGTAAATGAAGAAAGTATGTTGTTTCAATCAAAGTTGATACTGAGCCATCTTTGATTCCAAAATACTGAGAAAAAAATGTAACTAAAAACAAAATCATTTAATGACTAGATGTTATTACTTATAAGAACTTTTAGTTTATATGTAAAATCATAATACAAATAGGAAAAATAGTATATACTACTGATACCGGTTAAAATTGTATAACTGTGTATAACTTCAAGAAAAGCTAAAAAGAAAACATTGGTTATATAACAAATATGTTTGAGTTCCCGCCTTATTTTTTTAAAAATGGAAATGTTATTAATTTCAAAGACAACAGAAATCAGTGTACAATGTGACTGATGTTTTTTACATCGATATCAACTGATATATGAATTGTATTAGAAAGAATCATGAAAAATTATGGTTGAATAACTTGGAATGAATTAGAAAAAGTAATGAATTTTCGTTAAATGACATGGCTCAAAATCGTTTGTAAAGGCGCATGTGCATCTACGCTTTGTGTTCTCACAAATTCTAATCTCCAGAATACTCCTTGTCTCTTTTTTTCTGTTTCCCAATTCATTTCACTAGATTATACTCCTTCAATAACATCTTCGAACCCTAATCTTTACGATTACTGCTTATACTCCTACTATCTCTACCACTACGGGATATGAATCAACAACTGCATCTCTGTGCTAATGTGGTATAGCAACTCGAATTGATGTACGTACGTACGAAGTTTTAAGTTGTTATTGACTGACTGAATGGATTTTCTGTAGATTTAAATTTTATGGTTTATAATAACTGAATTTTGATAGTCAAACACTAGAAAATCATAAAAAGCTTGATACCTGTTTTGTTTTAATACAGAATTTACTATTAACAGTGTGCACTCACAATTCAGTCAAAGGATGAATTCAGAAGTATGAGGACTCGCTACCAGTGCATTATTATTGAGTTTCAAACAAAAATAAAATAAATCTATGGTGTCTTAGGATGTTTAACGATCCTTCAATTCGTATTAATTCATGATGAAAATGGTCTTCAGAATTTGAGCGACTCCTTATGAATCATTCATTCAAATAATATTTCTTTTTCAAATGTACTCAAAACACAATAAACAATCTTTATACTCGTTGAATAAGTTGATAACTAAATTGATCTGGTAGCTTGCGGGATAACCCTTTAGTGTTTAAAGCGTGAAGTGATGGGTTTGAGTTTCAACGTGAGAATCAGTTCTCGGATTCAAGTGCATCCAGTTAATGAGTCTCGGGTAGAACGAAACTCTCTGCTGAGGATGTTAGATCCCCAGAACTCACTTGGTAAATACCTTATTTTTGTAATTTTATCTTAAAAGTTTGAATCTCTTGTTTTCGCGCTAAAAGCTCTCATTTTCAACTTCACGTCTTATTTCCCACTTGGGAGGATCTTACACGCTATTGGTTCGTTGTATCTTTTAGTATGCTGTTTTGTAACGTTTCCCAAGGACAACTTGTTGCTGTAAATATGTTTGATTTTTGCCTGTTGTAATTGCTCGTGCTTCTGGTTGCCTACAGAATACGATTCCCCATTTCGAACTTTGACTTCTTTCTCTGGTTAGCGGTGCTGGGACGCATTAGAATAACTGGCTTATTGGTCTTTGGTCACAGAGTCTTTGTTCCGTTCTCAGACTAGGTGAACTCATGATCGTTTCAAACACAGCACCCTCTCACTACACTATACTAGTAGCCATGTTCTATTTATTTTATAAAACTTGTGACAAAATGGTTATCATGAGGTGATCTACACAAGATACGTTTATATCTATACAGAATGACCAACATTCAGTTTAGAATATTAACAAGGGGATAGTATAAACTCTTAATAGTAATAGTGTAAATTTTTAAAACACCAAAATGATATTGATGTATAACTAATATTGAAAAGCTGCGTAATCTATCCTATTTAATCTGCGAATTTAATAAATGCATCACATGATTAAAAGTTTGTATCATGCTTATTTGTTGTTTCACATGGTATAGGATACTGTCAACTTTTAAAATAGAATATTTAAATAGTTGAGATCATGAGTCAACTGAAATTAGATCACCATGGAAAACCTGAAAGCACTGAATGTCCGTGACACTTCTCAACAATAAGCAACCACGATCCTGCCTCGCAAGATTCCAACCAAGGACCTATCGGTATCGTGCGTGAACTCTTCAATTGACTCATGATCTCAACTATTAAAATTACTATAATATTCACAAAATCCCTTCTGATAATAGAGTATTTGCAACAACAACGACAACAAAAAAAACAAACTAGTCATCATCATAAAATTTGGATTTGTCTAGACGATCCCCTTGACGATAATTTTATTTCAATAATCAATTTCACTATTTTTTCATTATATCATCTTAGTAGATATTCATGTATTATATAATCATTCTTTGTAATATGATTCCAAACCTCTATTATCTTTTAAGATTCATGAATAGATTCACTCTTTAAAGGTATATGTTTATCTTGTTCCATCATAGTTTTATGATAATAATAAATAATATAAAACTAGAGATTAGAAAAACATCCACAACTTCAAGGTTAATTTAACTTCAAACGAACAAACAACTAAATAAAAGATTATTGAATATTGAAAAGAGTGTAAAACAGGGTTATTTGTCTGCGAATTGACAAAAAAAAGTGATAGTACAGGTATTAAATAAATGGAAAAGTAGATGAAATGTTAGACGTTTAGAAGCATATACATACACACACACACACTCGCAGACACCCACACACGTACATATGAATGTAACACTCACAATTAAAACTAATGTTAAACTATTGAATACGTACACACACACACACACACACTCATACTCCTTTCCCCATTTGCTATCATGGCCGACTTACAGAACATATAGTTAATAATTATAAATATTATTATCCTTTTTTTATTTGTATTTTCTTTACTGATAATTCATTGTACTGCCAGAATTTCCATAAATTGTGTTAGAAACTACTTTGTATTCTGTTATAGTCATGATAGTTATGCAATAAATGAGTGAATGAATAAATTAATTAATAGGTGTTATATATATATATATATTCATAGTAGAAATAACAATCAATGTATCTTAACAAGGTCTATTTTCGGTAGCATGGATTGATTTTTTGCAAATGAAATCAAACTGTCTTTTCTTTCCTCTTGCTCCATAATTTCATTAATTCATCATTTACATGAGATTACTTGATGATAAAACTGAAAAAATAAATGTTTCCTCGAAATCCTAAATGAACTATCTTTTAAATCCACTGCAAAAATCTGATAGACGGGAACAACCAGTTAGTTCGAATGTGAAACTATCTCACTTTAAATCTTTTCTCCGTATGGATTACTGTAGTAGTAAATTTGTGAAACTGTGGAGTAATTCGTCGCACTCTATTTGCAAAACAAACTCAGTAGTATTATTTGTTCTATGCATCATTGGTTACATCTACTTTGAAGTTGCCTAGAAATATTTACCGTTATGATTATATCCAATCTCACTAGTGAAATTATAGGGAAATTAAATGTCCGATGAAACTTACTAAGAACTTGCCTTTTTGAAGATATTTTACCTTTACGATTTCAAAAGTTCATTTAATTAATTAAAATAATATCTATCCAAAACAATAGATCATTAAATAACATAGCACTTATATAATGGCAAACCTCTTACATGAATGTTTTCTGCTTTTGTTCTCTGCTCTCTCTCTCTTGGTTTTATTCTCTAGTTGTGGATAACCAAAATTACTCTGTAATAGCACTAAAAATAACCCTATTCATACATCGATAGGATGCACTAATCCAGATACTAAGAATTGATGGTTCCTACCTTCTGCTTTACATTATTATAATCTTTATGAAAAAAGTCTCCTCCAAAAATTATTTATGAACCACATCATTTCAAACAAATTAAGTTTATATTTCTGTCCTTTATCAATGACAATTTTTTCTCTAACAACCAGTGAATTGGCATGTTTTCTATAGCAATATATAGAACTTAATAATTAATTTAATCCAAAGGTTTACTAAGCACCACGTTGAGATCTATCCAATTAAAAACCATTGAATATTTAACTTTACAAAGTAAGAAGTCATGCCAAGTGTGGAATTCAAACATATTTTGTATTCTATCCTTTGACCTACCTAAAATTTAGTAGTATTTGTCTAGAATCATGTTATAAATCTAAATATCAAGTAAGTTGGTATAAGAAATTCTAAAATATGTAGATTGTATTCGTCACAGATTTATAAGGTCAGGTACTACTGTAAATCAGGAAGAACTTGACAGCTGTTACGTTCTAGTAAGAGACGGTCAAGCGGTGAGTATCATGAAGTTATTTTCATCTTATTACACTGAATGTTCAATCAGTGTTTTCTTACTATCTCTATCATATATAACTAAATAGATAACACAAGTGATTTATTATTAAAAATTATACCGAATGAAACAATCTGGTTTGGATGACTGATTAAGGTTGTTTTCGAATAAGATAATTAAGGCAAATTAAATAAGTCATCTATGATTCATAGAAAAAATTATCTGAAAAGTTTTCAGTGTTCAGTATGTGTGTAGCTTTCAGCATGTTTGATCATACTTTCAATAATCAAGTAAATGCTGTCTGTTGGTATGATCTTCAATACAAATTTCATTTCAAGCCTTACGTTCTATCATATTGGGGTTTTTAATCCGATATTTCCGGTTGCGCCAAGATGACACATTCATAAAAGATAGTTAAGAATAATTCATGTTGCCTGAACAAACGTACTGAATACTTGAAAAGTTGCAGATAATCTAAGTTGGATTTATTTATTCGGGTGGAACATGAGATATTTAGAGTGAAAATGAGATCTTATTCTGTGATTGGGTCTTATAACTCAGCTGTTAATGAGTCGTATCAAGAACCTGAACCATAATCGTTGTAATCTTATCATGTTCGCATTGGTTAATCCACCATGTTTGTCAGAGTTGCATGTGACATTTTAATGAAATATATCATCTGCTTGAGTTATGTTACCCTCATTTACATTACACTAAATAAATAAGAGACGATTTGTACTATCTAATAAGTCGAATTTCATTACACTATTGGCACTAAACAGAGATTAACGTCTTCAAGTTCATTGTTATTTAACTATTAAGTAAACTTACAACATTGTAAATAATCATGGTATCCTTGAGATCCATACATATCCACTTTAGTACTATGATAGAAAATGATTTTATTATTATTATTACTATCATCATTATTATCGAACCACTTGACAAATCAATAATTTTAATGGTTGAATTCATGAGTTGATCTAAGCTAGACCACCATTGAAAACCTGGAAGCAACAGATTATCACGGGCTCACTTGTGACTAGATTCAAGATGAACTTCCTCGAGTTTTAGTGAGGAGTTCTGGCCAGTAGAGTTCAATGGATGAATGGTTGCGCAAGATAATGGATCGACATTAACACCGTTATATGCCAGCGTTCGCATGCGAGACTGAAGGTCCTGAGCTCGAGCCCTGCATGCGGGATCGTGAATGTGCACTTCTGAGGAGTTCCATGCTAGGACGAAACGGCCGTCTAGTGCTTCTAGGATTGCAGTGGTGGTTTAGCTTATATCGGCCCATGAATCTTCACAAAACCCCCATTTTGATCAAAATCAGTAATTGTGCAATAGTTCCCAAATGAAATAAATTCTTGCACTGACTAAAGATTGCATTCCAGTTTTCTTTTATTATCTTTTTTTGACAAGTTGCATTTTCAACAAAATGAGCTTATTACCCGAATTGGTTTTAGTCATTTGTTTTAAAGAGTTTAGTTTTTGTTAACATTTAAAACATTCATTTCAACATATATCTTTAAAGTTGTAACTGAATGAACAAGATTTAAAATAAGGAAGTGATATATAAAAGTGGAAACTAATGAAGAATAGATGGTATTTTAGCAATGGAATTCAGAACGTCCATTACGTCCTATTTGGGACTCATCATCTCAATGTACCTGCACCCCGTTTGGGAAGATATAGCTGGTATTCATGTATTCATCATATCGCTAATGAATATCTCTAGTTAAGATCATGAGTCAGTTGAAGCTAGGCCACCATGAGAAATCTGGAAGCACTGAACGGCTGTTTCATCCTATTGTGGGACTCCTCAGCAGTGTGCACCCACGACCTCGCCCCCCGCGAAATTCGAACCCAGGACCTACTGATTTCGCACGCGAGAACTTAACCACTAGACCACTGAGCCGGCATCCAACGGTGTTAATGTCTAACTTCAACTAATCCACGAAATTGAGCGACACATTCACCATTGTCTTCAGTTAGTTACTATCTCACAACAGACCTGGTTGAACTCCACTGGTCACTGCTTCTCACTAGAACTCCAGGATATACCTCGTGAAGCCAGTCACTAGTGAGCATATGTTGATTAATATCTGACTCATGATCCTAACCATTGAGGAGTTCCATGCTAGGACGAAACGGCCGTCTAGTGCTTCTAGGATTGCAGTGGTGGTTTAGCTTATATCGGCCCATGAATCTTCACAAAACCCCCATTTTGATCAAAATCAGTAATTGTGCAATAGTTCCCAAATGAAATAAATTCTTGCACTGACTAAAGATTGCATTCCAGTTTTCTTTTATTATCTTTTTTTGACAAGTTGCATTTTCAACAAAATGAGCTTATTACCCGAATTGGTTTTAGTCATTTGTTTTAAAGAGTTTAGTTTTTGTTAACATTTAAAACATTCATTTCAACATATATCTTTAAAGTTGTAACTGAATGAACAAGATTTAAAATAAGGAAGTGATATATAAAAGTGGAAACTAATGAAGAATAGATGGTATTTTAGCAATGGAATTCAGAACGTCCATTACGTCCTATTTGGGACTCATCATCTCAATGTACCTGCACCCCGTTTGGGAAGATATAGCTGGTATTCATGTATTCATCATATCGCTAATGAATATCTCTAGTTAAGATCATGAGTCAGTTGAAGCTAGGCCACCATGAGAAATCTGGAAGCACTGAACGGCTGTTTCATCCTATTGTGGGACTCCTCAGCAGTGTGCACCCACGACCTCGCCCCCCGCGAAATTCGAACCCAGGACCTACTGATTTCGCACGCGAGAACTTAACCACTAGACCACTGAGCCGGCATCCAACGGTGTTAATGTCTAACTTCAACTAATCCACGAAATTGAGCGACACATTCACCATTGTCTTCAGTTAGTTACTATCTCACAACAGACCTGGTTGAACTCCACTGGTCACTGCTTCTCACTAGAACTCCAGGATATACCTCGTGAAGCCAGTCACTAGTGAGCATATGTTGATTAATATCTGACTCATGATCCTAACCATTGAGGAGTTCCATGCTAGGACGAAACGGCCGTCTAGTGCTTCTAGGATTGCAGTGGTGGTTTAGCTTATATCGGCCCATGAATCTTCACAAAACCCCCATTTTGATCAAAATCAGTAATTGTGCAATAGTTCCCAAATGAAATAAATTCTTGCACTGACTAAAGATTGCATTCCAGTTTTCTTTTATTATCTTTTTTTGACAAGTTGCATTTTCAACAAAATGAGCTTATTACCCGAATTGGTTTTAGTCATTTGTTTTAAAGAGTTTAGTTTTTGTTAACATTTAAAACATTCATTTCAACATATATCTTTAAAGTTGTAACTGAATGAACAAGATTTAAAATAAGGAAGTGATATATAAAAGTGGAAACTAATGAAGAATAGATGGTATTTTAGCAATGGAATTCAGAACGTCCATTACGTCCTATTTGGGACTCATCATCTCAATGTACCTGCACCCCGTTTGGGAAGATATAGCTGGTATTCATGTATTCATCATATCGCTAATGAATATCTCTAGTTAAGATCATGAGTCAGTTGAAGCTAGGCCACCATGAGAAATCTGGAAGCACTGAACGGCTGTTTCATCCTATTGTGGGACTCCTCAGCAGTGTGCACCCACGACCTCGCCCCCCGCGAAATTCGAACCCAGGACCTACTGATTTCGCACGCGAGAACTTAACCACTAGACCACTGAGCCGGCATCCAACGGTGTTAATGTCTAACTTCAACTAATCCACGAAATTGAGCGACACATTCACCATTGTCTTCAGTTAGTTACTATCTCACAACAGACCTGGTTGAACTCCACTGGTCACTGCTTCTCACTAGAACTCCAGGATATACCTCGTGAAGCCAGTCACTAGTGAGCATATGTTGATTAATATCTGACTCATGATCCTAACCATTGAAATTACTACAATCTCCACAAGACCCATCGAATATCTCTAGATTGACATACTTATTAAATGTCAAACAATCCAAAAAATTTGAAAAGTTGATTTAACACATAATCTAAATAAATGAAATCATCAATCTTGAATTTTCATATGCTACATTATAACTATACAACAGTATAATTGTAGCAAGATTGATTTGAGATTTCTAACAAATCTCAAGTAGGACAAAACGCACGTAATGGGTTCTAATGTTACCCCTTATATATATATATATATATATATATATATATATATATATATATATATATATACGAGAAGCTAGTATTTAATTTTAGAATTTCACCAATCTCATAATGATTGTTGGTAAATTCAGTGATGTAACTGATACTTTTATTTATTTGATTGAATCAATGAACAAATAAGATATTAGTTTTCAAAAATTAGATTGGCAGGTTAGTATACTTTCCATTAACATAACCCAAGGCTATCTAAAATACTTTATATACCCTAGATTTTCTGTACATAAATGAACCTTTGGAGTAAAGCGTTTCTTCCATATTTCCCGCCTTTCCTCTCATGTTCAAGTCGCTGTATAGATCTAGCCTGGGGGTTACTAGAAGAGCTTAGGAACCAAATCTAGCACTTAATTAAAAGACTTATCACTAAAAACTTTACACCTTTAAGAAATGTACAAAACTTACTAACACTTTAGCTTTCTTCTCAACTATAAGATGTTAATTTAAAAATGAACTATAATTCTGTTGACCGCTTTTAGAAAACCCGTATTCATGTTTTATTGACTAACCTTTATCTTAAACAATCATATTAAATTATGATTGAATATTATATGAATTGATGTATGTATACATATCAGGACAAGAAGAATGTTAATAATTTTCTTTTCATTCCACATTTCTTAACGGGTAATCGATCAGTCACTAGTTTTTTGCACAATGGCAAATCATAACTTACAAATACCATAGAAACTAATTGAAACATTGAAATTTTGCACCAAACAGTTTATTATCATTGACTAACTGTGGAATATTCATTACATATTACCTAAGGTTTTCATGTTTAGATGTACATTATGAATTATTATATAATATAAAATAATAGAAACATTATAAATAAATAGCTTACCAAAAATATTGCAGCACAAATAAGCAAAAGTTTCATACGATAATCCAAGTCTAAAGGGAAGTCAACACGAAAACTATCATTTTCTTGATCTCGACGACATATTATCCGTCCAATTGATCTATTATGTCCATGTGCATAAATCTTAACAGTGACAATATGAAAATTAAAAACGTATGAGAAAGTAGGGTGTAATTAATTACTCAGAGATTATTAACTATGAAAAAATCAATTAAACGATCAGCGAGAAAAGTGTGGGTCCTTATGTAGCATATAGTTATTAATTGAATTGGAGCTAATCGATAGGAAGCCTTGGATCTAGGTTTCATCCTGTTCAGCCCTCATCAGAAAAGTTTCCCTATAATCTCAAACAGACTGATATTCCCTCATAGATCTATTCCCGCGCCATTCAGCTTTATAACCCGAAACGTCACCACTGAGCCTTTTGCGTAGCTACTGACTTTCTGTAGAACTCAGAGATACTTGTAATTAATATGCCAATGAGCAGTGACCATTTTCCATCTTTTAGTGCCAATCGAATTCTGTCGATCAAGTTGCTATATGAGTACGAGTCCCTCAAGAACACAGATGTGTCTTACTGTTAAATGCCAGCTGGTGCGAAATATAGGCCCATAATTTTCTCTGGTCTGTCTAATCAACTAAGACCTCAACATGGTGCAGTAAAAGTCTAGTCACTTAGATTAGCGCTCACATAACAACTTGCTCAATAGTAGTCGGTTAACACTAGTAAACTAGACAAGCATGACATAAGTCACTACTCAGTAATCGGTTAATTTTAAATAACCAGTATTTTCATCAAACGTTTAGCCTATTTCTACATTAAATCCCATAAAATAAATCATTGATGTTACACTGTGTTAAAGACAAACATCTAAATACTTCTCGGTATTTTTTCTGTACATAATATCATTAGTCATTCTAATGTTTTTCATCAAACTTCTTAAGGTTAATATTTAATATCTAAAGTTTAATTATTGGGTCGATCTAAACTAGACTACCATGGGAAACCTAAGAGCATTGGACGGCCGTTTCGTCCTAGCATCCTAGCATCCACGATCCCGACTCGCGAGATCCGAACCCAGGACCTATCAGTCTCGTGCACAAACGTTTTACCTCTAGAACACTTAACCATCACCCAACAATGTTAATGTCTAACTTTAATCAATCCTATACTAGGATGTAACGGCCGTCCAATGCTACAAATTTTTCCATGCTGGTCTAGATTTCATTGACTCATGAACTTAACTATTACATTAAAGATAATCTCCATAAGTATGTTTCTTGGTATGTTGACTTTCAACAGAATCCAGAACTTGTAATTCATTTCATCGGTATAGTTAATTAAAATGTTAGTGTGAATTTTTTTCTGTTCTCAAAATAAAACTTATTACAATGAAATTCTTTTTTCTTGATTTGATAGTTAAATTAAACTTGAAAACGTAATGCTGATTGACTTGAATTGATAAAGTTGTATATTTTCAATAAAATTACCACATAACATATTTGATGCTTTTATGTCATGTTAATTTACATTCTATTTTGGTTTGATTGATAAACTGAAGGGTTTCATATCATAGAATGATTTTGATTAATTAACTACAAATCTCTGGATAGTTGTTTGATGCTATTATGGAACTTCTTAGTAATATGCAACCAAGATCATACTAATAATTAAACGTACAACTTTTAAACCTTATGGCAAACGTTCAACTTTGAAGCCGTTGAGTTATCTACTAGGGTTATTGGCTACCTAGCCAAAGTCAGCCCATCACGTAAAATTTAAATTCAATAATCTTCACAATATCTTATAATAACAGTAAGTAACAAATAATAATTATAATAATCTTAATTATGAAAAGATGGATAGTGTCTAGCAATGGAATCCAAGATGCGCGTTTTGTCCTATTCGGGACTCATCAGCCGGATGTACACATATCTCAGAGTTGATGTTCACTCTGGTACTCAAACCCAGTACAGTTCGCCATCACGTTATCCACTTAGCTGCTGATTTCTGATAGCCACTCGCTTGTGCAATGGGTTGAAATTTAAATTCACTTGTTATTGCCTACTTGAATCTTCTTATTGATGTTCAAGACTGAATTCGAGTTCCAGAGTGAATTTCAACTCTGAGATACAGATACATCCAGCTGATGAGTCTCAAATAACACGAAACGCGCGTTTTCCATTCCACTTCTAACCGCTATCTATCTTTGTTTAGAATGCTTGTGAATTGAAGCAATATCTAGACAATCTTCACAGGATGCACATATACCAATAAGAAACTGATCCATCGCTGTCTTAAACATCAACGGAAAGATTTAAACAAACAATACCAAGTGAATTTAACCTTAGTTATAATATTTTACTAACAATTTCAAGTCGTTTCATTCAATTTCTTAATTTACCATTAATAGTAGTCAATGGAAAATTATCTTACTTTTGTTTCTAATCAAATTCTATCAATTAATCAATATTGATTTTCATAACATCGTAAATTAGATCTTAACGGTAAGTGCCGGTTAGCACAAAATCTATATTTATTGCATCCATTGTTGCATACTTTTAACTACTTAATAAAATCAATTATAACAGCTGTTTATTAATTAAAATTTTTACTATTGAACTAAGAAGAGAAAATCAACTACCTAGTTGATTGATCGAATATTATTATTCATAGATTTTGATGAAAACTGTTTTCATTTTTGTATATCAGTCTAGACATGTTATAAAATCAATTATCAGAATGAGTTTTGTGGAGATTTTAGGAAATTTCACAGGTTGAAATCATGAGTCAGTTGAAGCTAGACCACCATTGAAAACCTGGAAGCACTGGACGGCCGTTTCGTCCTATTGTGGGACTCCTCAGCAGTGCGCATCCACGATCCCGCAACCCGCGGGATTCGAACCTAGGACCTACTGGCTTCGCGCGCGAGTGACTGACTTCAGGAGAACCTCCTGGAGTTCTAGTGAGAAGCCGTCACCAGTGGAGTTCAACCAGGTCTGTTGTGAGATATCAGCTCACTGAAGAAAATGGCGTTCGGTGGCGCAACTTCGTGGATTGGTTGAAGTTAGACATTAACACCGTTGGATGCTGTCCATCTCAGTGGTCTAATGGTTACGTGCTCGCGTGCGAAGCCAGTAGGTCCTGGGTTCGAATCCCGCGGGGGCGGGTTCGTGGATGCGCACTGCTGAGGAGTCCCACAATAGGACGAAACGGCCATTCAGTGCTTCCAGGTTTTCAATGGTGGTCTAGCTTCAACTGACTCATGATTTCAACCTGTGAAATTTCCTAAAATCTCCACAAAACTCATTCTGATGATAAAATCAATGGTTAAAAGATTATTCAAGGTTGAAAACGTTGTACTATTTAAGTTATAAAATGTCTAGATAGCATTGTTGTTCCTCTAGAACGAATCATCAGTATGAGATTATGAAAATTGTTAAGTTTTTGATTGATATCATGAATCGATCAATGTTAGACCATCATTGAAAAACTAAAAGCACTGGATAGATTGGTTGAAGTTAGACGGTAACACCGTTGGAGGTTAAAGGTTAAATGATTGCGCGCAAAATAGAAGGTTCTGGGTCCGAGTCCCTTTGGTATGGGACCGTGGATGCGCACTGCTGAAGAGTCTCAAGCTAGGATGAAACAGCCGTCCAATGTTTCCAGGTTTATTATAGTGACCTAACATTGATCTATTCATGACCTCAATCTAAAATTAATCAATAGTATCTCATCATTCCTATGTTAAGAAATAATAAATATCATCAAATGGTTGGGGATTTTTGGTTGATCATTGTAAGTGTAAAACGTATCTATCGTAAGTTATTAAATAACATTTTCATTTTGTTCATTAATTATGTATTTGTATTTAAATATTACAAAGATTAGGCATCTTTACAAAATTACAAGACTAATAAAAACATGGCATTTAAGTTGAACCGTAAAAAGAAAAATACGTTAATATCATCCTACCAACCTGTACATAACGTTTACAGTAGGTGATTGTTTACTTTTATACAGTGAGTAGTATGTTGTTGTTTTTCCGTAGTGATCAAATTCTTTCAAGCAAGTTGAAATTCACCTACTAATCTTAATGACACCATTTTCGGAAGTTCTATTTACAGTATTAGATAATTGTGTACAATTGATAGAAAACCCTGATTTACCAGCGTTTCATAATAGTTGACGTATTTCTCTTGGTATTTGAATCAGCATCATCGAATGGGATAACCAGAAATTTCACTGAATATCAGTTCGCAGAAGACTGAAAACATATCATTTTAACAAATAAAACTCACTTCTAGAGCTTCTTGCCGAATGTTCCAGATAATCTAACACATTATCATCAACATGAATTTTAGCAGTGTCGTGTTTTTGATGGATTGATAACTGAGTGGTAACCATTATCTAGTTTGTCTAGTCCTTTAAAAGCAATCAGATTCTATTGAGCGAGTTGTAATATTGACACTAGTCTCAACATAGTGCACGCAATGTCGAGTCACCTAGACTGGTGGCCACATTGCAACTTGGTCGATAAGATTCGATCTGCACTAAGGAGGACCCGACATACATGACATTGATCACCACCCAGTGATCAATGAATAGTGAGAAAACAAAGTGAAGGGGATTTACTCTCTAACATGTGGTAAAATGAAACTTGATATTCGTCAAATCTACGAAGAAACAACCTTTTTCTGGGTAAAAATAAGGGCAATACTCTAATTTATAGACGGGACAATCAGAAGCGTTTAAGGGATTTCGAGGTCACAGCGCCGATTTCAGTACCTGATGCTCACGTACGACCAGTTTACAGCGGATTTTAAAGATGACGTGATTATTGAGCAACTTCAACAGATGGAACTACTAAGAAGTTCCTTTATTTGTGACTGTGGTAATCAAATGACTGCATTACCGTGTTCAGAGTATTGTGATGACATTGTATTTCGATTTTCTTCACGTTGGAGAAAGAAGTCTGCTCGAACGGGTACTTTCTTCGCTCGATCGCGATTGAGACTGAAACAAATCATGATGATTGTCGCAAATTGGATAATAAAAGCACCAGTAACACTGGTTTTAGCATTTGGAGACGTTACTGAGACTTCAGCTGTGCAGTGGTATGAGTATTGCAGGGGTATATGTGCGATTACAATGATACGTTTACACGGTTGTTCGGAGGAGTTGGGAGTATTTTTAAAATAGATAAAACAGTAGTACGAAAGCGAAAATATAACTTGGGACGTCATATTAAGGAAGACTGGATAAGTAGCACCTCCGTAAATATACCTCACATGTACTTGGAATTTATGACAGATCAACGCAAAAGGGATATTTTCAAAGGGTCAGAAACCGGCAAGCAACCACAATAATACCAATTATACAGGAACACGCGCAGCCGAGCACTACGATACATACAGATGATTGAAGAACGTATAGATGCCTACATAGACTTGGGTATGTGCATCATGTCGTTGTGTACAAGCGCCATTTTGTCGACCCTACCACAAGAGTTCACACTAATAATATTGAGGCTATGTGGTCCAAGCTAAAGAAGTTTTAAGACCCTATCACGGCTCCAGAGGTCGACTATTATGGAGCCATATGGATGAGTTCCTCTACCGTATGCACTACGATTTTAGAACCCCTGAACCTCTTTCAAACCTTAATAAGTTTTTGAATCATGTAAAAGAAGAATATCCACTTTAATTTTTTAGTTTTTTATAATGCTTTTACTTCATACTAGCTGTCTTCTGGTTGGCTAATAATTATCAAGGTCACTTAATATTCGTTCAAAGGTCGTCTATAAATAGAGTCTCGCCGAGGATAAATATGTACACTGATTAGTAAGTTAGTAGCTAGTAGCCTATCAGTCTAGTGTTTAGCACACAGTGCTGATTACATTCAATTGAGAATATTAGAATGTGATCAGTAATATATGATTACATCATATGTAAACTATAAATTTATACATTTCAGTTTTAGTCACATAGTTTGTATAATGGTTAGTGATACTAATCAGGTGTTAAAACCGATATAGGAGAAGGAGGAGTAGCATATGTACCTGATATTTATGAGTTGAAAGTCAAACCATTTGATCACTAGTCCATTACCATTATCAACATTGTGCAACACCTTGATGTTATGTGATTTTATGCGAATAATAAGAAGACATGTTTGACCTAGATTTCATGTAAGTCAGAAGTTGATCAGTAAAGCATACATGAAAGATTTAGAGAACTAGTGATTGCTGAAATTTCAATTTAAACGTCACTTATAATGGTATCAGTTACAAATATATATACATATATGATTCGTTCCGGTATAAATATCAGTTAAAGGATTTCAAATCATTTGAATGAAAAACACACTTAATAATGTATGTAAACACCTTCGTAAAGAGGACACACCAAAGCTACATACCGAAATGTGACACCATTTTAACAGTTTTAGCTACAATTAGTTTGATTTACGATAATAACTTAGTGTGCTAAAATATGTAATTCAATAAAGAAAAACAAGTATGTTAAGAACTAGCCATTCACATGGTGCGGAAAACAATTTTAAATGAATGTGAATCTTGTAGCGCTATGCGAGCCCACATAGCTTATTCTAGCTTACGGACAGGCTAATCCATTCTTCTTGAGTCACATTTTGACCTTGTCAATTATTCGATCGTCAACCTTGATTGTTTTTATGTAAGAGTATGTATGTGCATTTCTTATCTTACTCATCGCATGACTGTAACTTATATTTGTCTGACTATAAATATCGATTCACTCTTGGTCAAATCGAGTTGGCTTACATGCTTTCTCCACCTCGCGTCATTTCGCTTAGCTCTATTTCCTTCGCTTCTCCGATCTTCTGTCTGGATCAACGATTGTACAAAATGTATGTATTCGAAATTTATTCTCGTAGTTGACTTATTTAATACCATTATTCGCTAACGCGAGTTAATTCGGTGATTATGTACGAGGTTTGGCGACATGTAAATATTTCAATAACAAGCCGTAAACCATCCAAATGGAGTCAGATTTAGAGCCACTAAAATCTAAAGTATTCCGATCAAATTATAAGTATTAGGTTAACACCACGTACCATTATAAGCAAAGATGGATAGTGGCTAGCAGTGGAATCCAGGACGCGCGTTTCGTCCTGTTTGGGACTCGTCAGCTGGATGTACCTGCATCTCAGAGTTGATGTTCACTCTGGGACTCGAACTCAGTACCGTTCGCTTCAAACACCATCGCGTTATCCACTTAGCTAGTAAGTCCTGATAGCCACTTGCTGATCAATTTCAGTCCAAAAACATCAATGGGAAGACTCAAGTAAAACAATATCAAGTGAATTAAACTTCAACCCATTGCACAAGCAAATGGCTATCAGGACTCATTAGCTAAGTGGATAACGCGATGGCGTTTGAAGCGAACGGTACTGGGTTCGAGTCCCAGAGTGAACATCAACTCTGAGATGTAGGTACATCCAGCTGACGAGTCCCAAACAGGACGAAACGCGCGTCCTGGGTTCCACTGCTAGCCACTATCCATCTTTGCTTATAATGCTTGTAAATTAAGGCAATATCGAGGCATACGCACAGTATGCACATATGCCAATAAGAGACTGATCAATTTCAGTCCAAAACCATCAATGGGAAGATTCAAGTAAAACAATATCAAGTGAATTATACCACGTACCATTGTTTGTAAACGGTTATTTATTTTTAATTCATTATCATTTTTCATTATGGTTACGGATTCCCGTGAAAAATGAGAATATTTGGTTTAATTGTATGATATTTTATTCATCGTAGGTCACACTCATTTCAAGAGAAACTTCATTTTCAAAAGATTCGACGAGACTATAAATTATGGACGAACCAATCACAAACGTTTGGAGGATTTCAAGGTCACAATACCAGTTTCAGTACCTGATGCTCACGTACGATCGGTTCACAGTGGATTTTAGAGGAAACGTGATAATTGAGCGATTACAGTAAATGGGACTACTAAGAACTTCTTTTATTTGTGATTATGGTAATCAAATGACTTGTGAACTTTGTGCAGACTATTGTGATGATGTAGTCTTTCGATGTAATATGTGTTGAAGGAAGAAGTCTGCTAGGATAGAATTTTTCGCTCAATCCAAATTGAGAATAAGACAAATCATGACAATTGTTACGAACTGGATAATAAAAGCACCAGTAACAATGGCTTCAGCCGGGTATTACACTATATGCGCACGGTTGCAGAGCGCACAGATGCTTTCATAGACTTGGTTATGTGCATCGTGTCGTTATCCTTAAACAACATTTTGTGGACACAAGGACAGGAGTGCAAACAAACAATATTGAAGCTATGTGGTCGAGACTGAAAGAGTTTTTGCTACCTTATCACAGCTCCAGAGGCCTACTAGTATGGAGTTATATGGATGATTTCCTGTACCGTATGTATTACTATCTCAAGACCTCTGAACCTCTTTCTAACCTTGACAAGTTTTTGAACCATGTAAAAGAAGTGTATCCGGTTTAATTCTTTGGTTTTCTATAATATTTTATATTGACTTCACTAACTAGATCAACAGTGAATACCAGGTAGCGGTGGATAGTCGCTTCATACTGATATGGGATTCCTCAGAAGTGAGCGTCCACGACCCCATAAGCAGAAATCAAATTTAGAATTTTCGGTGTTGCATGTGAATGATTATCCTCTAAACTACTGAAACGGCATCCAATGGTGTCCATGTCTAACTTCAAAAAATTTACGATATTGCACAATCATCTTCTATTGTCCGAAGCAGATAAGTGTCTTATACTGAACATGGTTCAGCTCCGTCCATTATGGCATCTCAGCACAATTATAAGAGCTTTATCTTGAAACTAGTTACTCTTGAACATATGATTGTCATTAATATTAAAGGATCTTTGGATGTTGTAGAATTTTCATAGTTCTTAAATTACGTGATGAACTTAGCTAAACACCCACTTAAAACCTGAAAGCATGATTTTCACTTTCATTAGTCTGTTTTTACTAAAAACTATAAGTTCAATTTACGATAATGTGATGATTATATCAAGTATTTGCAAGTTAATTATTCATGTGATAATAATCTTTATGAACTTATACTCACCTTAAAAATAAGATCAAAACAACAGGTATAAGAAAACCAAGGACCTTTTATATCTAAATTTATATTATCATTCCAATCTTTCAGGTAAAATGTATGACCGAATCGTCCATAATTTTGAACAATACTACCCATTGGTTCACCTACTGGAGCTTCAACTTTCATTTCCTTAATTAAAACACATATATATAAATGAATGATATCAGTAGAAAATATAAACACTGTAAATAAAACCAAAAAACGAAACATAATTAACAAAATTGGACTATGAGTGAATGTTCATTAAAATTAAACAGAAACAAGAACATACATAGCAACAGATATACTTAGAAAGTGATTTTAAATATATATATATATATATATATATATATATATATATATATATATATATATATATATATATGCTAAGAACCATAAGCAAATAAGTACATATGCTTAAATTATTTGAGTTTTTGAAAGCAGTAGTGTGGTAAGTGCTACTTATATCGACATAAGTAGTATATGATGTTAGTCGTCAGCAGAAGGTCTGGCAGCAGAGAGACAAGAGAATCGAACAGTAAAGAATAGAAACAGGATGTAATTTGTGTTAAAATGCGGGAACAATGAAGTCTGAGTCATTTTGAGACAATTGGTGGACATTTTGCAAATTAAGCATTTACTTTACGATTGTTAGATTTTATTAACAAGTCCTGTAATTTTGTGTTAAGCACATTCGATTGTCCCCCACTCGTGTTCTTGTTCACTACAGTGATAAAGTATATGCAACTAGAATTGAGACATATTCGCAACAATATATATATATATATATATATATATATATATATATATATATATAAATGTAGGAAACTATTTTAAATTGTAACCAGTAATGGAATGCATGAGTGTTTCTTGAAGTTCATCAGCTGAATGTTCCTTTATTCTAATGCTGATTGACATAACAAGATCTCAGATTAGTGTTTGTAGTTTCAAATAGAGTAAACTTCCAGGCTACCGAGTCATTTTAGTGATTGTCTTGCTTCAAACAAAAATAAATGATGAACATAAGCCTTAGTGCTAGCTCTGATGTAGATACAGGTTTTATGGAAAAATTTGTTCAGCAAGAAGATTTTTTACGGGGTAATTTTTTAATTCAGTCCTGAAAATCCACAAAGAGTAATTAATTTGAATAAATGCTTGTCAAACCTTAGTCATAGTTGATTTTTTTAGACAGTTTAAAGTTAGGTAACCAATCTGTAGGTAAGTTATACCACTAAAACCAAAAGACTGCCAGTTTTTTCCATCATGACCGTTTATAAGTTTCAAAACATTTAAGGTTTTAACAAAACTCCGGTAATTATGATTTTTTTCTGATGAAAACAGCTGATTTATGGATGGGACTCTGATATCGACTGAATACGTGATTGAGTCATAAATACGTTTGATCATCCAATGACCTGATAAACTTCACTATAGTAGTGGATTCTGGATAACATGTGATCACCTGACTCTTATACGGGGTAATTTTTCCCCACCAAAGGTCCTAGCTGGTAATAAAATAATTCAGCTATGAGAAAGAAAACTACAGAAACATCGTTTTGCACTCTTGAGTAAAACCTTCTATTAGGTATTTACTGATTATAGTAATGTGGATGTCAACATCTCTTCGTGATAACAATAATGAGATTCGGGCAAAATGTTGGAAAATTAACCAATATTCCAATGAAAGTATTTTTGTCCTTGGAATGAGTTGAAAACTTGTTAAGGTGAAAAAATTCTATCTTCAGTAACTTTTAGATTGATCATTTCTAATCAATCATTCCACTATAACTTTAATAGGCAGGCAAGCTATCTAGCTTTTTAGTATTACCAAAACGGTTCATACTGTTTAAGTTGCATTACTGTAGTTGTCTAGTGAAATCGAGCTATAGATCAATTTGTAGCTTTAGAATTGATTTCAATCTGTCTATTTAGTTTAGTTAAAACTTTACCTACCCATGAACCCATTTTCATTTATCCACCATACATCAAACTCTTCATGAAATTCTAAGAGTATAAAAACATGTTTGGCAGACCTAATATAATAATCCATATTTTTATTTAGATACATAATTCAAACCATTTACGACCGCTAGTTATGTCTCAGGTGAAAAATTATTTTATGAAATGGTATAAAACTACATTCAATCGTTTGGGTATAGAAAATGATTTAATTAAGGTTACGAAAAGTAGGGCGTGGAATTACTAAGCAACAAAATACCGTATCTTAAAATTTTAAAACAAAAAGGTGTATTCTAACTTGTTTTGCAGACGATTTATCAACTTACATAAGGACAACAAAAACATACAACTGCTGAACACTTCAATGGCCGTTGGAGATGCATAACAAGTTTTCCGTTTACATTTCGCACTTCCATATCGAATGCTCTGTGAGATCCACACCAAAATCTTTGTGCAAAGCTAGACTTTTCAACAAATTTTAAAAGAAGTTCAGAAGTATCTAGCAGGGCTTCATAAACTACTGCATCATGTAACTTTGAACCTAGAAAAAACAAATAAAATTTCTTTATTTTCATAAATGTTATCTAACAATTAGCCTAGAATATAAATCACAATATGGTGTTCTCACTATAACATCGTATAAATCACGAGATAATCTGTATAATTATTGGATAACAAACTCCCAAAGCCTTACAATAAAAATGTCTCCAACTACGACCAACGTTGTTTTTATGAGTTTTTCAGTGTATAACTAAAATACTGTTTGATATTAAAAATGTTTAGCTGAAAAACAGAGTTTAACCAACTAGTGCGTTGTTTATAAGATCGCTTTCATTATATGTTTACAATCAATAACATTATACAATATTTCACTTGTAAAGTCAAGAACAAAATAAATTTTCCAGACTCTTCTCGAGTCAAGCCAAGAAAATAATTTAGTTGTGGGAAAGATTACTACCTTCCAGTTTAATATTTAAAGACCTTTAGCGACTAAACTCATTTTATAGAATTATACGGTAAAGCAACACAAAAATGTAATCTATGTTCACGAAATTTGTCAGTAATGCTCACATGTATACTTTCGCTTACAGCACAAACGTGCTTACATCAATCGAAGCCTTAAAATTGTTCTTATTTTATGAAGTTTTAACTTTTAATTTTGTTTTGATAATGGGATCCATCCGAAAAATACATCTCCTAATATGATGTCTTTTAACAATCCAAAGACAAAAGTGCTGCCTGGAAGCTTCAAATATACGAAAAAATCTACAAAACAAACTACATTTTAATAAATTATTTCTTAACTATTGATAATAATTTAAAAAATGAATACAATGTGAACCTTTTATTCAATTAGCACTACTAATTTTACTCATGATTACTAGCCGACATTATTTTAAGCCACTGTAACTGACCATTTATAAGACCATATTCGAAAGGTTTTAAGAAAGCTGGAAGGAAAACTTTGTATGTATAACATCTTATCCACCGTTCACCTCATAAATACATTTCGTGAGCCTTTGATTTGAACTCAGCAAGAGTGAATTCAAAATACTTATTATTTTTTAAAACAATATAAACTAAGCGTGCTTTTAAAATAGTGGTATTAGTAGCAGTAATAAAAGACGGAACGCATATTGTTTCACTTAGCTGCCAACGCATTGATCAAGATAAAAAATAATCTCAAGTTCTTCCATCTGCTGTTTATTCAACCTTGATGATTATTGATTAGTGGTACATCAGGGAGATAATATCTTTCTATGACATACAAAGTCTGCACTACAAATATCAGTGTCCCTGGCTATCTGAAGGACTAAAAAATCTATTAAAAGCTCAACCCCTGAAAACCTAGTTAATTTTTGTCACTCCAATTTATTAGAATCATCCTTCAAAATTGTTAGTTTATTGATAAAAATAAGTTTAAAAAAATACGAGTGAAAAAGGAATGTACGTTAGAATTTATAGCTTACCACCAATTCAAACCTGACCTTTGTTTCCAAAACCACTATTTTTGCTTTCTGATTTCATTGCGGTCTTGATCTAGTTGCCTGTCCTCCACAATCTATCGCTTTTCCTCTACTCCAAACATATTTGTTCCCCTATTACCTACATTTTGCAACTAATATTTAGCCACCATTACAAGTTTTAATTATTTTGTTCTTGATATTCATCAAGTAGATAAACATTTTCACCCTAACATTTTTTATCACCTGTTAGGTCACCGTCTAGTTCGTCTTTGTTGTCTGAATTCTGAAACTATTTACGGCATGATAACACTTCAGTTCTGTTAAGCTATTCAACACCGTTCTGTGAAGTTATAAACTAATATTTTTAGCAGACATATTAATCGTTAACACGATTGTGCACTTTACGTAATTCTAAATGCTGAAAATAAACTTTTGTTCGCTGGACTGACCCTGCTCTTCCTCAAAGTTTAAATTTTGACAATGAAGGTTCAGTAAAATATTAAAGGATCATCAAACACAATTCAGTTCTTAGTTACACATGATAAATATAACGGCATTTTTCATCACTAAATAGGCCAAATTTAATTTTACACACCCAGCTTTCGAACAAATAAATATAACTTGTATCTGTCACATTTAATGATCAAAAAATAGGGTGCTCACAAAAGCCCAATGCTCCTAAGTATCAAGTTCTTTAAATTGACAAACATGTAAAATTTATGGTGCGAATTGAGTTTATTTAGGGCTTATTCATACTTATGGGGTGAAATTCATATGAACTAATTGAATCTTCCACTAAACGTTTTTGGCAAAAACAACATAAGAAACTCGACCACATTAATACAAATACCTATTTATAAAGAAATTGGATGACTTATTCAGTATACAGTAAAACCGAAGAACCATGTACCTATTTATATTCGATAATTTTGTTGTTTGATTATATTTTCCTTGAAAAAGCTTGGACCAGATTGCCAGGCGAAAGGTTGGATTTACTTAAAATTCATTCGCTGAGATTTTACAAATATATTCTTCTTCTTAATGTCTCAAACTAACTCGGCGCACAAATATTGTGAAACTATTCGTTCAAATTTAGACGAAAGTTCTTATTTAGAAACTCGACCAGTTTAAAAATACACTAACTCTGGTTGAAATAGTAGATAGTTTGTCCGAAACACAGTAAGCCGTGAACGAAGTCTGAAAAGCTTCCTATGGGATTCAACAGACCTGTACATATTCATACCACTGATAATTGTCTGTAACATAATCAATTTGCAGTGGCAGTGCAGACTCAACAATATTATGAATTGTTATTCTAAAGAGATAAAGTAAGGTTCAGATCATTGAACCCTCGGTTTTTCAGTTTTAAAAGCGTGGCAGCTGATAGTGTTTTTAAACTGAAAAAAATTTTGAATTATGAATTTAAGTACATCTTAATAAATTCGGAAATATTTGCAACGTATTACAGAACAAAACATGCTATGAATTCGAATCTTTTCACCTTATTTCACATAACTTCCTTATTTGAAATTCCAGTAGCAAACAAATGCTTTGTGATTACGAAATGTAATAAGTTGTAAAGACCTTTCATCACAATTACATCTGTACTTTATTAGAAAAAGAGTGAACATTTTTTATCACTAAATAAAATACCAACTAACTTCTGAAGGAAACAACTAAAATAAACGTCCTCATCAGATACTTCACAGAACTTTGAAAGAAAATTTGTACTGTAAAGACAATAGCAATTCAATTCAATTACACTTAATATGAAGTAGTTAAAAATAACTCGATAAACACTGATATGAAAACTTAAGCCAGAGTGAAGAGTTGCCGAAAGAGTAACACATTTATTTAAATATACTTATTTCGCATTAAACGACTCTTTTGCTACACTGTATGTGCATTTAAGAATCTGTGCTTTGTTTTGTTGAATATAAACTACTAATAAAACTTACTTTGGTTCTTTTTTATTTGCTTCACAGTGACCCTGTCAACTTCCAAAAGCCTGTGAAGCCCTTCAAGCGGTTCTACATATTCTGAATGCCGATATAAAACTTATATTTATTTACCAGACAGAAACCACTTCTGCATTTCAAAAATGTGTCTACAATAACTTCAAGGTCAATTGTTATGAAATTAGCCTGGAACAAAAATAAATGATAATTTTAATATACATTAAACACCAGGTCAGAGAGGTACATCACTTTCATGAAGGCTGAAATCGAATTTCGATTTGTTAAATTAAGTCTTTCGATACACATAGATTTTGCAAACCTATCAATCGGTAAAAGGTTCATTTGTAACAAGAACAATCACGGCTAGAAGCTGACCTGAAGAGATAAGAACATGAGTTAACGCAGAAAAAGACCCGAATAACAATACAAACAGACAGTTTGAAGAAACATCCAGTGTTCAAATACAGTCCAGAATGTACTTGACAATCCCACCGTACTCATTTTTTTTTTCAAGAAATTCGTGACCTACAAAACCTTACTTTGAACCATTGCCACTAATCCCAGTAATTCTCCCTATGGTCACTGCACGGCACCGAATAAACTGTGTATAATTTTTGGCCTCTTCTTTAGGCACATGCTATCTGTTTGCACGCACCCCAACACATTATGATTGCAGCGGCAAATAAATCCCCAAAATAAATAGCCCCACGTGTCTTCCACATTGACTTTGGACCCATTAGTTTCACCAGACACACGCTAGCTGAAGGCGCACCAAATCAAAGGTGGCTACACCGTGCTACATATCCTCTGCAACTACCAGCCAGCTCAGACCAAACGCTTCTCACTATATCAATAGCTTCCCAAATATACCTCCGACCTTCCTCATTTCTCACTTCTGATTTGACTTGGTTGGTATGCTTAGATTATAAAGGTGTTATTGAACCCCAAATACTTGTGGCATCTTTGGTAACGTGCCCGACGTGATTTGATACATCAAACACTATACTGTGATTCTGGGCTGCAATTAAACGCAACTTAATTTCGTAAATGTGCCTTTCAGCTTAGCAACCAATCAGAATGAGGCAGGAATTATTACATCCGCCATCTTTGTAAGCAATGGCGTCGGCTTTCTTCGTTCTGTGCTTCTTTCAGCTATTTCTTTTGTGTAGCTATGTAATTTAATGTCTCAGTGTACTAAAATGCTGCAGTTAGTGTAATGTTCTATATGTTGGTGTGAAGTTTATTTCGAATCAGCGATGTTTTCTGGGTTTTTGCTGCTTCTATTCAAGTCAATGTATTTCTTCGGGCAATCTGGCTAGTCTTGTGTTATAAAATGTCGGCCGGCTTTCTTCGTTCTGTGTTTTTCCGCTATTTCTTTTGTGTAGCTACAGAATATGATGTTTCAGTGTGCTAAAATCCAGAAGTTAGTGTAATACTCTGAACGTTGGAGCAAAATTTTTCCGCATTTTGCTTTGTTTTCTGGGTTTTACCTGCTGCTAATAAAGTCACTGTATTTATTCAGCTAAGCTGGCTAGTACTAACATAAGACCATACGTTTTTAAACGACAATCCGTTATGTTTTACCTTGTTTTCTAGATATCCGAAGCCGAAGTTCGTTTTCATTTAGCTAAAATAATTTTTGCTGCCGCCTGTGACTAACTGTTCTCATGTTCGTTCCTAACTGTCCTTTATGATGTTATCGGCAAAATGAAAGGAAACAATCTGCGTTTTTTTAATTTTCTTCAGTATTATGGACAACACTATCACACCAACGAGTCAAACTAATACAGAGTGCCCAGCAGTAGGGTATATCGGTACGGATTTCGAAAGGACCCAGACTTCCGACAACTAGAGATGAAGTCACAGATGCTACCAATCTATTGCAGAGGGTTTGTTATGAAAAATATGCCATATAACAGTAATAGAGGGGTTCTACTCATTACTCAGTGCATTAAAGCAAGCTTAACATGGAAAGGCGAAAATCTGCTACCAGTGTCTAGTGTATGTTTGCTGTTTTGGCCATAAAAGGAAGCCGAAGGGTCATGATCAGGGAGTGAAAAGGTGAATAACTGTTATTGAGCTCACTTTTTTATAGATCATATTTCACCACTCGCAAATTTGTGTTTTCTTACGGTATGATGTCAACTGATACCTAATATGTTCACCCTTACGATGAAAAGTGCCTGCAAATTTTCACCTTCATATTTGAATTATTTTTGCACAACTGTCTTACAGGCCGAGTGCTTCGTACGCCCCGAGAAACTCTACTTCTACAACATTCGTAGTTCCAGTATAACTTTCTCACGCAGTAAGTTCAAATTAAACACTAGTCTTTCTAAATAATCCTGCTAAGCTGATATCCGTATTCTCTTTTTCAGTTAATCGATGAAGATATGCACCACGTGCATCTGCTGTATACTGCCATTTTACTCCAATTCTAACTGTTATATCTTACTTTTGAATAATAAAATTGCTATATGCTGCGAATACAGACTTATTTGTTTTGATGGAGATAGGGGGGTTCATGGGGTTTTCAGCAGGACCGTATTAATATTCTCACTAAAGAGCTAAGCGAGTGCGTAAACCAGTGTAAGGTACCGTACGGGGTGCATTTGAGTTACTAGTGTTCCATTAGTGCGGGTAGGGGCATTGTTTGCTTGTCATATGGCATTTGAATTAGAAGCTATAAGATAAGACGCAGGTGCGGTTAGGATGTGTAACGCGTGTCCATCCACCAGCTGCCGTGACAACCCATGGTGTTTAGAATAAGCTATGAGAGGACCCGAGTCTGTAGGTCTCTCAAGAAAATGACGAGGATATGCACCAAATTACCTTATGGAGAGCGCTTCCAATGACTTAACCTCTACTCATTAGAGTATAGACATCTTAGAGGTGACCTAATGGCTTACAATAACCATAACACTTCTGGACATCCCCTAAAACACCTAATTAAGCTTAGTTCCAACACTAACCTAAGGGGTAACACCCAGAAACTAGAGACACAACATAGCAGAACGAACTGTAGGCACAACTTCTACTCCTTAAGAGTTGTCAAATGCTGGAATTTTCTGCCGGTTGAGCTAGTCCAAGCGACTTCCCAGGAGTCCTTTAAGAGGCAACTGGATCTATTCTTAAGGACTAAAAATAGTATCATACTATGATTTACCAATTTCTTTTTCCTCTTTTATTGTTAACATACTTAGTTTCCTGCCTTGGGGTTTTGGTGATCCCCTGCTACTAGACACGGAAGCCTGTTAAGCGAAAGCTTCTATTCAGTCCACAACCATTTGAACACATGAACTAGGTGCTGAGAGGCTCGCTTATCACAAGTTTCTTGCAACGATTAAGTAGATAAAACAAAGTAGCATTAGATTCAAAAAATTATTCAAGAACTTTCATTAAGAATCGAATATCAAACAAAGGTTTAAACCAAGTTCCCGTTTACAAGTTGTATTGGTAATGTTAAGCTGCAGTTTTTGTTGTTTTTTTCCAAACGAAAGAGTAGAAGAAGTCAAAAAATACTGGAAGTGGTTGTGAGACTAAAATGGACGTCCAGCATCCTTTTTATAATCTGCTGTTTGTTGGGTCGCCCGTAAACAGTTCCATAGGGCCATAGTTCCAAGGGCGAAACAGTCTTTGGCGCCTGTGAAGGCTCACTCCTGTTGCATTCTAAATGAAAAAAATAGTGATGAATTTAGTCAGAAATGTGGAATAGATAAATAACCAAATCACATGTTGTTTAGCAAAGAATTTATGCAGTTGTGATTTACGTTGAGTTCATGAATATTAGATAAGGTCAGCTATTATTACTTGCGCAAAGCATAACATGGGCTTAGTACCGTATTGCAATGCTTTTATTATTTTGCTCCCATTTAAGTATTCCCATGCATCTGCGTCTAGTTTAACAGGAAAACATACAAGCAGATTAAGTATCTGATAAACTAAAAGTCCCAGTTGTCAAAAAGATTCTTAACATTTGTCCACAGCCAGCTGCATTTGATTGAGACACAGAACACTCATCTTCTAAGACTGTAAACTGCTGTTTTGCGGGCAACTAAAAGCTCAGACACTTAGCTATCTTGCTATCGATGTTATTCCTGGGGAAATTGTTTAATGACAGTGATCGTGAAATATGGCCACTGCTAGATGTACAGTCTATAAATAAACACCAAACATACTTATTGCTATCTTATAATGTATAACAGAAACAGCATCAAAGGCATGTTTTTTCCTATTTTTAATCAGACTGATTTGAATCAGTATACTCATTAGAAACAGACAGCTCAACTTACTAAACTGATCTGTTTTCGTTAAAGGCTTCAAGCATTATACTTAAGTATACCATAATTCTTTCAACTAAATTGAATTATACGACAACCAAGAATACTAAACTAAGCAAGTGTCATAATTATTATCTCATTTGCACAGACATGTTGCTCAAAGTAGTTAAATGGATACAATTCAGACGATAAAACCAATCACGAAATATAGGCCAGTCGAACTTACCTAACAGAAGACAAAGGATATATATTGCTTTCAGACTGAAGACAAAAGGCAGTTGTTCATAGAAACATAGTTTACAGTACAACAAACATTTGTTCAGTAAAATCATGCACTGACAGCCTTTCTGGAAACAATCAACTATGTGAATATACTCACTGTTACTTGAGATATCATCCCAGCGTGCAATGGACATACAGTGTAACGCAGTCGGACGTGGCGAATAAAAATTAAAAACAGAGCACAATTAACTACATAATCTAGTTATTTAATTAAAAATAAATTATGAAATGACAAAATCTGTGGTTATGTAGAATTATGGTCAACTATGATATTAATACTGCTCTAATAATAGACCTAATCCTGAAATTGTAGATTTGTCATGATATAACTGCCTAATCTATAAGATCTTACGTGGAAGTCACACCATCGACTACATCAACTCACTGTACCGTATCAATTACCAATACATGATGTAGAACAAGGTTAGGCTAGAGAAAGAACAATATATTTAATATGAATAGAAGATATAAGGTAACATTCAGATGGACCACGCCTGCATGGTCGAGCCATGCCATCCGATCAACTCCAATTCATTCAATTCATTGTTCGCGCCTTCTCCATCGTTAGGTATTTATCCGCGTTAAATATTGAATATCTATTTTCTGAGTAGTCTCGTGTTCAGCTTTGTGGATTGTGCGGTTATTGTTCAATGCCACTACACT